CATTTTCACTGCATTACCGCAGTAGGGTAGGACTAGAACGGAACATATGCAAACCATGCAAGTAGTCCACCCAATAAATCCAACCCATCCCCACCCCAGAGGAGGACATCCACCACACAGTAATCTTGTGCATAGGAAATTAACGTCTCCTACCCCTAACCCTGTAGGAGACGGGACCTCCATTTATTTGTCCCTATCCGAGAAGACTAGAATATCTAACCATTTCTTGATGTTGTAGAAAGGTAGCCTATTCTTCTCAATTATTTTAAGACCTTGAGTGTTGGTTCGGCCAGGGCTTGAACCCTCGACCTCCCACACAACAGTCCAGCGCACTATCCATTGGGCTAACCAGGAGGCAGTTAGAAATAAATTCAGACCTGTATGGGAGTTGAACCTATGATCTCTGTGATACAGGTGCAGTGCTTTACCAACTGAGCTCACAGGTCAACTGGGAACTGGTTCCAGCTGCCAGTCATTGATTCATCACTTTGCAGTTTATTACAAACCAACATAATGACCAGCTCCCAGTTGACTTGTAATTTGACTGATATATATTCACAGACATTAATAACAATGGTTTATTGACATTCCACTTAGTGGCTCTTGTATGTTAAATCAAATTAATGACTAGTATACTATAGTCTATTCTTGTAATCTCTCTGCAGTTCTCTTTTTTTTCTTTTTTAGCCAATCAAACAGGGAACATAATATTATTACTAATTAACATGTTCAGTTTTAAGATGATTCTTGTAATTTTTTTATATTTGTTGTTTCAGTTCAACTCCCCCTGTACCCTTTCAAGAATGGCCAGGGGCTGGAAGTTGTTGTCACTGAGGTATTGAGTCCATGGGAGTTTTGGGTTCAACCCATTGGAACAGAGCTGGATTTACTCATGGAGGAAATGTGGTAAGGGACAAATGACCTTTGTGACTTGAAAATATTGTCAATTATAGTCAATTATACCCTCCAAAATCTGTCAGAAGATTTCAAAAGGCTTTGTTTCTTTTTTTTTTTGCACTGATGAAGGACTAATGCTTGAACTGCAGCTTTTTGAAAGGGCAATTTGTATTTATTTATTTATCAATTCAGTTGTTAAACCAAATTATCTTATGAAACTGGTTTTAGAAACTACTGATGAAAATGATGGTGATAATGATGAGGCAAACTCAGTAATTAGAAGTTGTCCTGCCATGTAACCCTTAAACTCCCAGAAGTGATCAATATGTAACTTCTCCCTATTTTATCCATACATAATCCAGTAAACAGATGACGAGAATACTCAAACTTATCAGGCAGAAGTTGTCATCTTGATTGAACACCAAATTCTTCTAACTAACACACAAGGAAATGTGTAGCAGCAAGAGGGGAGAATTAACAATCAGATCTTGCGAGTTAAAGAGTTAACGCACTTTCATTTTCTATCATTTTACATTACTTAAAATAAATTCTTGTATCATTTACCAGATAATTTGGTTATATGAACTAAGTTGAAATTGTAAAGTGGCCACCGTAAAGAGTTAAAAAGCTGACGTTTCGAGCGTCAGCCCTTCGTCTTTCGCTCTGACGAGGGGCTAAATTTTGCCCGAAACGTCAGTTTTTTAACTCTTTACGTTGGCCAATTTACAATTTCAACTTAGGTGATACAACCAAATGACGTTGTTACCCCCACTGACGCAGCACCACAGTTTACTTTAGAAACTTACCCTCTTTATTCATGTATCTTTTACCAGAGTTCTATTAAATTAACGTACCCATTCCTCCTGTTCTCTCCCATTTTAAACTCATTTTGTTATTTATTATTTTTTTTTATCCCCTTAGTATGCACTATGCAAAAATGGCAGCAGCAGGTTACAAAGGAGGGCTTGTAACCGCGCCTGATGTCGGCGACTTCTGCTGTGCAAAGTTTACACAAGATGACACGTGGTACAGGGTGTTAGTGACGGGAGTTAAAGAATCGGCTACAGGTAATGTTGTTACGCTCAAGTACGGTCCAGTAGGACTAAAAACTTGGCGCTTTGGCGCAAGCCTTTCTCCGCCCCGCGGGAAAGTATAGAAGGCTTTGAGCAACGCAAGCCGGCGAGAGATCTCCGGGGGAGTCTAGTGCTAGACCTCCGACAAACCTCCTCCCCGATTCGTCTCAGTTCTTCCCGCGAGCGGAGAAGTGTGCGTCCGGTGTTACCGCGTTTACGTGAAACGTGAACGGCATGAGTGACCACGTGACCTTGTTTTTCCTGCCATCTTCTTACGTTTGCCATTGTGCTTTGCTGTTTCGATGTGAAAGTAACCTGTTTTGCGTTTACCGTGCACACGGACGTAACAAGGGCACCAAAACGATTCCTTGTAAGGGCGCTTCAATTCCACCAGGACGTGAACTGACACGAAGCTAAAGCAGCAAGATTCGCGCTATTTTACGTGAAACACGAAAGGGCACACTGACGATTGCCGTGTCACTTAAACGCGGAGCTAAATCTCTCTGATGAAGTCCTGCTCGTAGGCTACAAAGACTTAAGCTTGCGCGATGGACCTCATTCTTTTTTTTTGTGTTTTCAGGAGAGTGGAGGAAAGCGCGAGGCGGGCGCGAGTGGAGCGCGAAAACGAGTCATGTACGAGGCGAGGGGTGCGACAAAGATGATGCGTCATCTTTATAAGCTTCTTCTCTTGCACGTGACTCGCCCTTGTATTTTCCCCAGTTAACAGTTTTCTAAATTCTCCTTACCTGCCCGCTTAACAGTGTTTGAACATTTTAAGCAGAATTTACACTCTCATCACACCTGACAGTAGAACTGTTAAGGTTGGACGTGGTTTTGGATGCAGCATTTGGACTGAGTAACGTTGCTCGCCGGCATTTAAGTAAACTGTTTGCCGGAGTCATTACTAAGGTCTGGCGCGTGAATAAGAGTGACTAGCATCTAATTTCTCCTTACAATATCACCCCTGAATCAGGCAGTAAGGTCATGAGAATAACGGAAATTATCACCAACTGAAGAAGCTGTTGATTGTTAAACAAATTCTCCTTGTCAGCACCTTAGGAAATCTATAGAGAACAGTATGGAGAGTATGCCTACTCATGCTTAACAAATGGTAAACACCACAGCGTACACTATTGAGTTATGGATGCACGCGGGAGGTTGCTAAGCACGAAAGAAGCGTAAGAGTCGCTCGAGGCGATAGCCGAGAGCGACTCTAGCTTCTTGAGTGCTTAGCAAACCTCCCAAGTGCATCCATAACTCAATAGTGTACGCTGTGGTGTTTACCATTTGTTTTATAACATAACATTGATACATTGTAGCTAAAGAGTTCCCTTTTATTTAACAAATCTTACGCGACCAGAAAAAACAAGCGCGCGCGGAAAAATAGTCTTTGCATTTGCTCACGTCAGCAGCGTACACCCATGGGCAAATGGGGGACGCTAAATTGACCAATCAGAGCGCGCGCTTTACTTTGGTTATGTTATAATTGTGTATAAATCTTTGCCCTTTCTGATAACGAGTCTCCATCTTTTTTCCAAGTTACATTTATTGTATCTTGGTTGACCTGGCAGGTCATTGTGAGGACATCTCCTGTTGTGAGTGTTGGATATGGATCTGGAACAATTTGAGCAGAGGATTTTCCTACGTTGTAAATAAGGGGTAATTGATTGAA